GTTAACTAAAACTTATTCATCGTTTTTTATCTAACCGAAACTCGAACTAGTACCGATTATGCATAATCTTAAAACTAAACAATCTTTTTTATCGTTGCTCATTGTTGAAGAAAGTTGTTTGAATGCGAGCTCTCTGTGTCAAGAAAGTTGGTTGCTTTCTTTCGAAACAATCTTTCAATTCTTCGATTCGTTCTCGTCAATTTGTTCGTTTTTTTGGAAATGCGGTATCGAATTACGGAACCCATCGTCGAGGTTTCTTCTCTCCGGAAGAAACTCTTATTCTTCAACGTTTATCTGAAGGAGGTCTCGTACATGCACGCCACTTGCTCGACAGAATTCCTCAGAGAGGAAGTAATAGCCGTGTCATTTACTGGACTTCGCTTCTTACGAAATATGCTAAAGCTGGATACTTGGACGAAGCAAGGGCTTTGTTTGAAGTTATGCCGGAGAGGAATATCGTCACTTGCAATGCGATGTTGACGGGTTATGTTAAATGCAGGAGACTAAACGAGGCTTGGATTTTGTTCCGGGAAATGCCGAAGAATGTTGTTTCGTGGACTGTGATGCTTACTGCGCTTTGTGAAGATGGAAGAAGTGAAGATGCAGTCGAGCTGTTCGATGAAATGCCTGAGAGAAACGTGGTTTCGTGGAACACGTTGGTCACGGGTTTGATTAAGAATGAGGATATGGAGAAGGCGAAACAGGTGTTTGATGCTATGCCTAGCCGAGATATTGTGTCGTGGAATGCTATGATTAAAGGGTATATTGAGAATGATGGAATGGACGAAGCAAAACTCTTGTTTGAGAATATGAGTGAGAAAAATGTAGTTACTTGGACGAGCATGGTGTATGGCTATTGCCGATATGGAGATGTTCAGGAAGCTTACAGATTGTTCTGCGAAATGCCAGAGAGAAATGTTGTTTCTTGGACCGCTATGATTAGTGGGTTTGCTTGGAATGAGTTCTATAGAGAAGCGTTGTTGCTTTTTCTTGAAATGAAGAAGGATTTTGATGCGATATCACCGAATGGAGAGACTCTTATCTCTCTTGCTTATGCTTGTGGTGGTCTTGGTGTTGGATTTCGCCGTCTTGGCGAGCAATTGCACGCACAAGTTATATTTAACGGTTGGGAAAGCATGGATCACGATGGAAGGTTGGCGAAAAGTCTTGTTCATATGTATGCATCATCTGGTTTGATTGCTTCAGCGCATTCTGTGCTCAATGAAAGCTTCGATTTGCAGTCTTGTAACATCTTGATCAACGGTTATTTAAGAAGTGGGGATTTGGAAGGAGCTCAAACTCTGTTCAAGAAAGTCGAGAGCTTACACGACAAAGTATCTTGGACATCGATGATCACTGGGTATCTAGACGTGGGTGATGTGTCGAGAGCCTTTGATCTGTTTCATAAACTTCACGATAAGGACGGGGTTGCATGGACGGTTATGATCTCGGGTCTTGTCCGAAACGAACTTTTTGCTGAAGCTGCGTCTCTATTGTCAGATATGGTGAGACATGGTCTGAAACCGTTGAACTCGACTTACTCTGTTCTTCTTAGTTCCGCGGGTGCTACTTCGAATCTCGATCAAGGGAAGCATTTACACTGCGTGATCGCAAAGACAACGGCTTGCTATGATCCTGATCTCGTCCTTCAAAACTCCCTTGTCTCAATGTACGCAAAATGCGGAGCCATAGACGATGCTTATGAGATTTTTTCAAAGATGGTTCTGAAAGATACAGTTTCATGGAACTCCATTATCATGGGGTTATCGCATCACGGCTTAGCGGATAAATCCTTAGAACTCTTCGAGGAGATGCTTGATTCGGGGCTGAAACCAAACTCTGTAACATTTCTCGCACTCCTCTCAGCTTGTAGCCACTCTGGACTCATCACCAAAGGTTTAGAACTATTCAAAGCAATGAAGGAAACATATTCAATCCAACCCGGGATCGAGCATTACATCTCAATGATAGACCTTTTAGGCCGAGCCGGGAAACTAAGAGAAGCAGAAGAATTCATCTCAACTCTGCCTTTTACACCAGACCACACGGTCTACGGCGCATTGCTAGGCTTATGCGGGCTAAACTGGAGAGATAAAGATGCGGGAGGCGTAGCGGAAAGGGCTGCGACGCGGTTGCTAGAGCTAGACCCGGTTAATGCACCAGGACACGTGGCGCTATGCAACGTTTATGCGGGTTTAGGGAGGCATGAAATGGAGAAAGAGATGAGGAAAGAGATGGGGTTAAAAGGTGTGAAGAAGAAACCAGGATGTAGTTGGATTGTAGTTAATGGAAGAACAAATGTGTTTCTCTCTGGTGATAAATCTGCTTTTGAAGTTGCTCACATGATTTTGCCAATGTTTTGTGGTAATGTTAATGGAATGCTTGAGGAACAAGAAGAAGAGAAACATTTGACTCTTTAGTCTTTACCATTTAGAAAGTTGTTGAGAAGTAAAACACATGTGTCAAAATAATTTGTCAACCAAAAAAGAGTTTCAATTATCAGAAAAAATTGTTACTTCAAATGAAAATTCAAACTTTTTGTTTGGTTGACAATTTTAATTTTTTTTTTTTATTAATGCAATGCAATTGTATAGAGATTTGTTTTGGTTTCTGAATATCTGAAAACAAATTAATGCTATTTATTAAAAAAATGACCAAAAAATGACAAATTAAAGTCGGTTTAAATATGACG